CCCTGCTCTGATCGATGATGGGTTGCCATGGGTTGCCCACAGCTTGGGATGTGATCAGATGATTTCAGAGCATTTCAGATTCGACCAGTGGCGAATTGTCGGAGAATATGTTCATCATTTTTCATCTATCTTCATCATCATTCTTTATCAATTTCCCCTTTCTGTGGGAGTGTGAGGGGTCGTTGGTTTCAAGGAGCATTCTGCCGGCTTGAGAAGGGGACACAGGACTTCTTTTGCTTGTTTGGGGTTTTATGCTAAGATGAGCTCACCAACCATCCAAAAAGTAGCAGTCTGGGTTGCTAATGTCAACTTGGCTTATCCACGGGCATCAAGGTTTCTGAGCCTGCAGTATCTAGTGGCACAGCCACACGGGAATCTTTAGAGTAGGCAACCGCAGTGAACCCACGCATTAATTGCGCCTGGACGGGCTTGTACAAATCGATTGTCCCAGAAAGGGCAAGATCCGATGTATCTTAGACGATGATTGGAGTGCAAGAGTGTGCAGCGTGTGAACACATGGCCTCACTCTTGATGCCAGACAGGCGTTTTCCTCTTGCATCACTGTGTGGCAGCAGCAAGCACCCATTGAAGATTGAAGGGCTTCACGAGGCTCACATGGCTCACTATGTTTGAGGGACGCACCTGGCTATGCGTTAACGCTTGGCGTTCGCTGAGTGGGGATAGGCTACTCCGCGGAGTGACCTCAGCGCCGCTATTGACCAAAAGCGCCCCGGATGTAACGATGCACCGATGTGCTTTTAACACATGAGACAGTTAGGGATTGCGTCGAACCTGATTTTCTCGTGTCATGTTGTGTAGCACCATTCCATTTCCCAGCGGCAGTTTTATGCAGTTTTCACCTTTGTGAGTTGCCGTCTGCTTCCAGTAGCGTTTCTTGCTTAAGTTGAGAAGTGGAGCTCCATGATTTGTTGTTCAAGCAATCCTGCACCATCGCGGTCATGACGCAGGCAGGACTTGCTTGTTGCTGGTATGTAGTAGGTTTACATTTGCTATTGCCCTCCAGCTTGAGTCGTCGACCTGTCCCTGCAGCCTTGTGCTAGCTGACAGGCAGCGCACTCGTGTTGTTCGCTCCAATGCCAGCATCCCAGCGAGCACCAATGCAGTTGACGGCAGGAACCTTCACGGGAAACAGGGACCACCTGCAGGGACAGATGCTCCCAACGAGAATACAAAAGTATCAAAAGTGTCCAGATTGAGTCAGTTGAGTCAGACTGAGTATGATTGGCAGCCTTCTTTGAGAGTGTTCAATCTGTTGTTCCACAGCACTCTGAGTATAATTGGGTGTTGCGCAGCGACACATGTCCATGAAAGCAGAGGTGAGTCACGATGGGGAGCCACGAACCACCACAGCTTCAGAGAGTTGGCTCAAGGCCGTGTGGCCAAAACGGGCCGGTCACGCTTCCGTGCTTCACAGCGCACGGCACGCAGCGCTCGAAAATTCAATGTCCCTCTTGCATTGCTTGCTGCATGTGAAGCCCATCTACGAGGCCGTGGAATTTGAGGGAGTTGTTGGCGAAAAAGTCTGTGAGGGCAACAAAAAGAAGATAAAATCGTTGAGATCGTTGCGCTGAAATGAGATGTCTCGTCTCTCCCCTTCCTACAATTTGTGTTCCACCCAAAAGCTAGCAGCTAGCAGCCAGTTGTGAATCTTTGTAAGATGAGCTGGCTTGAAGGACATCCACTTGTATGCTTTTAGTTTTGTGTCGAGTGAGGTTGAAGCGAGAAAGCCATTTGATGCTCTGGAATCTGAAGAAAATATTGCTGTCATCCTAAAGTCCTAGCGTATGTAGCGCAGTTAAACCAAGATGCTTTTATGGAAGGAAGCGATTAACGGCGGTGGCTTCTTCATTTCTCCTCGCGACTTCTACCGGCTTCTCTTCGGCAAACCAGACAGCGACAAGGACCCGCAAGCCTTGGGCCTTGTGTCCTGATCGCTGGGATGGCCCAGGAGCAGTTAGGGACGCTCAGTGGGACACTCTTTTGACCTCCAATTCCCGCGATCCACATGTACATGATCCACTGTGATCCAGCTCTCAAGTTTCCCCATATTTCCCCATTATATACATGAAACAGGAAGATTGGTGTTGTATCATGGGAGCACACCATGCGCTGAACTGCGTAGCCGCTCGAACCATATTAGGGAAATCACTGTTGGGGATCAGCCCAATCAACATAAGTTCGCACACTTTGGTTGAACTATAATGACTATATATACCATATTATACCATTATATACCTGTTATGTTATAACTGGACGCAAACACGGACTTGACTGCAGGACTCGCTGTCATTGAAACGGTGGTGCGTGATCGATGGTGAGGTGAGTGATGCAGGGGGGATCTGGTGATTGCAACCTGCTCTTTTGGGGGAAGCTGGGAAGCTGTTTGCTAATGAAGTAATTATGATCAATTATATGTTATATATATATATTGTTAAGACTTGGCAAGTCCAGATTTTTCCAGACAATTTGTGCCTGCCTGAATCTTCAGCACATGCCAGAAGTGAATTGCATAGGTTCTTTCACTCTCAGCACCACAGCTGTATTCGGTCTGCAAGGTGTGTCAAAGCAATCAAAGATCACGTGATTTTTTTCCCCAACCGGATACGTGACGTGTTCATGAATTCTGATGCCCACGTTGCTGTTGCCTGAAGGTCATTGACTTGGATCGCTTGTCTGCCCTTTCGCACCCCGGAGGCCAGAAATATGATGAGAATTGATGAGAAACATTTGGAAAGAAGTAGGAACACCTTGAAGATTATTTTGTATACATAGATATGCATATTATGAAGGCATTGATTTGACTTTGTCTCTGTCTCGGTCTATGAAGGATTATGAAGGCATCCTAAGAGAACAAAACTCTCTGGGATCCTTTGCCCAGTTGTCTGCTGAGCCTCGGCATGTGGTACTCTGTCAGATCTGTCAGGTGAAGCCGTTTTGAAATTGGCCGATGGGCGCGATGCCACCATGCTATACCGCTCAACCCATGCATTGGCATCTCGGTTGTTGGAATTGGCGACATTGATGCCCGATGCATTCTGTCCAAGTATTAGCAACTTGTGCATACTGGTGCTATTTTGCGGCTATGCGCGGCTATGGATGAGAACTGGGTATGCCATAGATCACAGAAGAGATGATTTGAGCCAGACGCACGTGAGATCACATAACTATATGGTGACAATTGGTCACATCGTGTTCACATCTTGTTCACAATGATTACTTTTCATCTCTGAGGCCAAGAAGGAGGTCATGTCTTCATGGCTGAAGCGATGTTCGGCTGGCAAACTTGCAGCTGAGCAGCAACTGGAGAGTTCAGGGCCAGAAGCACTAAGAAAATGCTTGGGATCATTCAGGGATCTAGATGCTCATTCGCGTAATGAATTTTAGTGGCTTTCCTGACCCATTGCCCATCCAGTAATTAAATCAATCAATGATAGCATATGCTGTTAGTTAGTCATTGTCATCAAGCCGGTGTCTGAAACGAAGACGCCTCAGGGATGCAATTCTTGCCCAGGCCAGCTATCCGGAACTTGCTCGGAAGCTTCCATCTCACGGCAGCTCCTTGACTGCAGGAGTGGCGTGGATTTGCATCGACACAATGTGGGCAGGATTCTCTTGCTGAAACGTAAATAGATCTGGGGTTTCTGATGGCAGAACGGGGTGGGAACGGGGGAAACCTCGTTTGCCGAGCTTTTCTCCGGGTGAAGCACTGCTGTCGCAAACTTGTGTCTTGAGGCAACTCATTGCTCTTCCTATCTCTTCCTTGTCCTGCCTTCTGCCTTTGCGTCAGAGCTGAGGTTTTGAAAACTTCAGTGAGGCGGACTCCCCATTTGCCTTGGACCTCCGCAAGGCAGCCCGGTCCTACTTTGAAGAACAAGCATCTCAGCGAGGGATGAGTGTTCGACAGGCGACGAAGGCCCCCTTGTGGAAGTGGCTCCTCATCGTTCTCTTTTGGTCAGCATATGCGATGTGTTTCGTCAAGTGGTTGCAAGGCTCCTACCTTGCCCTGATTGCTTTGCCTTGGCTTGGCTCACTGGTCACCTTCCATGTGGCGCATGATGCATCTCATGGTGCTTTGTCTACCCGCCCCTGGTTGAATGAGCTCCTCACCTATTCCTCCTTCCTAGTGGGAGCGCCACACGAATGGTACTGGCAGCATGTTGCCCTTCATCACGTGTGGACCCTTTGTGCAAAGTTTTCTTGATTCAGGTGTGTCAGTGTGTGCATAATGTCAAGTCCTTGTATTGCGCAGATCCGTGAAAACTGCTTAGACATTGTGGGTAAGATGTAAAATTTTGTAAGATCACAGTCTGACTCTTACTCATCCTAGACTGTGCAATGACGTCATGGTCAATCCAAACCAAGTTGCAGAGAGTTGATTCTTTGAGCCCGCAAATTCGGCAGCCATGTGATCATATGTGATCCATGTGGCCCTCTTTTGAGCTTTGGGAGACCCAGGACCAACATTGCTGATGCCGATCCAGATGCAAAGCATGTTCGGAGATGGGTGAAGGGCAACGCACCGCTGGGAGCAATGCCGGTGGTGTGGGCCATCGCTGTGCTTAGGCTTAGCTTTCTGTAAGTCTTGTGACAGATTCAGTTTATTCGCTACATGTGCCTTGACGGATGTAGATGTACCTATAGCTGTGTTCATGCAGGCTCATTTATTGATTAAGTCAAGAGCTTCTGGCATAGATGTTGCTTTCAGAAACACTAACTTACCATTACAAGATGATAGACAAGGCTGCAGTAAAGGGTGGTGCGATAGCAGCTCTACGTTCTCCCAACCATTTCTGCTCTACTTTGAATCATTCAACGCATATTCCAGTAGATTCCGAGATCTTCCAAGTTGTCAAGTTGAAAATTGCAATCCTTTGACAATGTTGATGCATCAGATGACGCTGCTCAGGTGCCAATTGGCTTGCAAGTGCTCTACTCCTATCGTTGCTACCATTTGCCATGGGAAGCACTATTTGTTCATG